GGGGGGGGGGGGGGGGGGGGGTGTGGGTGGGGGGGTGGGTGTGGGTGTGGGTGTGGGTGTGGGTGTGGGTGTGTGGCTGTGAGTGTGGGTGTGGGTGGGTGTAGGCATCTTCTCTTCTCAAACTCCCACGCACATCCGCACCCACACCCCACACCCACACCCACACGCACACCCACACCCACACCCTCATAGATTTTAGTTATTGTCAATGACTTACCAATATGATGATTCATCAAGCAACTATTTTCAAATTGTTTTAATCGTAAATAAATATTTCAAGTTGATGAAATTAATTCATAGAAAAAAAGGAATAAATGCACTGTCAAATTCATCGTGTTCGTTTCTTTTCTTTTGAAGGAAAAATCCAAATAAAATTGACTTGTGTATTTTTCTCAACCTTTTCAATTCTTTTTACTATGACTTACAACTTCTGTAATTATAAGCAATTGTCATCCAAAGTGACTCACTATTGTATTGAACAGAAGAAACCTTTTCGCTCGACATCGTTTTATGAATCAAAAAGACTCACATTCACATGAAGGTCTTTTCTTTTGTTGTTGTGAGCTTATAGTCCACGTTATTTAGTTTAGTCTAATATGATGGTGTGAGTGTTAATGCAGTAGACCTGTAGCTTCCCTCCGACATCCTAGTTTTAGTGTTTATGCTCTAATTTAGATCGATGTTTAGAACTTTCTTCCCAATAACATTTTCTACTTTTAGTGAAATCTTAAGAGAATCGAATCTTGCTTTTAAATCGAGTTATTTTTCTTTTGTTGATGACTATATTATGCTCGAACAACATTCATCATGCCTGATTCATTCAATAAAAAACATTATTTATCAAGAGAAAGATATCTTAACAAGAATTGGAAGAAAAAAACAAAACTATCTATGTAGAGAGGCATTCATTTACAGTGAGGTTTGGTTGATGAACTTGTTCGATCCATGATTTGATTTCTTTAAATAAACCCATCAATACCAGATTGCTATGGAACAAAGATTTGTGAATACCTGAATCAGGGTTCTTTGATTTTGTGAAGACGATGGCTAAGTGATAAGCTAATGTACTGATACATTCGCGTGGTTTTGGCATGATGATAGGAATGTCAAAAAATTGATTTGCTATGTGGAAGACATTGTAGAATTGCTCAACTTCAAATAAAGTGGTCTTGATGTTTTCATTTTCATTATTGATATTGACTGCTGCGTAATTATCTATCTTTTGAATCAATGATGAACATGGTATATGTGATAAGAAGTGTTTCTTCAATTTCCTTTTAGAATACTGGAGAAATGGTGGTAAAATCGATCCTTGTTTGGTGTTCTTTTGAGAATCCTCTAAAATAAAAACATTAATTCGATGATCTTAATTGAAGACTAGACAAAAAGCTAGCACCAATTATTTGTTGAGATTCAATATTGAATAAAAAATGAATCTTTTACAGAGAATAATTCTACTTATAAAATAATGAGCAACATTTTCTCGCACACTTCATAGCTTGTCGAAGGAGACTTTTACCTGGTTCATCATGCTGTTTAAGCAGTGTGTACATGAGATACGAAACAACCATGGCATAAAGAACGGCTTTTTTCAATGATGTTCGCTCCTGTCCTTTGCACCACCACAACTTGAGCAGACACATCCAAGCTAAGTGATTCTTGTAGTTTCCATCTTTGTTTATATCGATGGATGACTGAAGAGCAGATTTCACACAATATAAAAGCCATTTCTTTCGATCGGCTGAGGACATCTTGGAAATTTCGTCAAGTGAAGGAAGGTCTTTTGTCTCAATATCTGCCAATGGTTCGTATGATCGATTGTTGAACGTGACCTTTTGAATATCATCGTCTATTTCCACATTCGAATTATCCCAAATAAGAAGAATTTGAATAACAGGCAGAAGCAACTGAAAAAAACTGGATTGTTCTCTTGCTCACTCTTAAGAACATTTCAACTGATAAGAATATTGAGGATTGCATGATCAAGATTTCCAGTGATGAAAAGTCCGTCAAGGTAGTTTGGCAGATATTTTTTAGCTTTTGTTTTGATTGAAACTACTGAATTGATATTGGTGTAGTTAGATCTAATTTGATTGAATTTGTTTCGATTATCTGGAGCAACACGTTGAATCAATTGTTTATATGCTCTGGCACTGCCAACTTTTTGAATGAAACGAAGAAGAAGCCATTCAGTTGTTATCAACTGGCGTTTCTGTTCATCGGGCTCTGTGTTATCGAGCCATGATCAAAAGTTGTTTTGGTCATTCGGTTGCATTGTCGAAAGAAACTTCTGGAATAATCAACTTTATAAATATTCATTCAAATTAACAAGCAGAAATTTTCTTACTTGTAAATCTGGTAAAGTAACAAGATCATATTTAACAAGTGCTGCCCATAAAGCAACACCACTATTATCCATTCCTGTGAAAACATCGTTCATCTGATAGAGTGGTCCTTTGAGTCTTTGTAAATTAAGAAGTTTCAATGGAACATAACCTCGTGAAAGATCGTACAGATGATAGTCCGAATCCGCGGCGACAACTTAAGCGTTGCGATCTTGTGCCAATTGAACTATCATCGGATCAGCTTCTCCTCGAGCCACAATAACATCTATATTGAGCTCATGCAAGTTATCCATGAACCCACGTCGAAAGAGCGACGGTAGTTGATTTTGACTAGCGTTTAACTCGATGAAACGTATACTACTCGTACGTTCAGGATCAGGTCTTCTATTGGCATTCCGTTTGAATACTCCGTCGAAGACCACGAGAACATCTGAACACTCTTCCTTGTACTTAGTTAAGATTTTACGTAAGAAGCTCCAGTAACCATTGTAACCAAACGGAGTATTAGTAAAACGCTGATTCCTATTTTTGGACGTGTCATCTTGCAACATTCGATCATAGATAGAATATATGAATGAATTTGCATCGATGATAATTGGCTGATCTTTCAGATCGACTTGCGTCTGATGGTTTTCTGGTGGAACCAGATAATGGTAGACGAATGTGTGTAAATAATGAGTCCATCAAAATGTGTACATGAAGTACAGAGAATGAAACCATCTGGAAACATTTTATAATCCCTTTTTTCCCTATGACAGTCGGAAAAATCCAATACAACACTTGCAATAAGAAGACAAAAAAGAACCTTGAATGTCTTATTCACCGTTAAATGTAATATTTTTACTTTCTTTCTTTTCAGTGGAAAAAGCAGTATTATACATCGACCATATGCCATACAGAGGACAGTAGTATTTCATTTGGTTGTGCAAGATCTTATTTTGTTTTTGTTTTTCAACCACAAGAAAAATCCAACATTTTATTTTCATTTGTGTATGCCCTGCCAGTGAATATAAAAACGCAAATAATGATGTAATTTACAACGACTTAATGAGAATGTATAGTTGCATCCAGACATCTTTACAAGTTTGAGTTGGTAGCCTTTCGAAGTGTCTAAAGTTCCTTTTACTTGACCGTCACATAGGGTGGCAAAGTGCATACATTATTAAAAATACTTTACAGACTTTAGATAGAGTAGGTCCTGATTATTATTCTGATTATTCATTTTCAAATGAGAAGTAGTAATACATAATGCTTTTCATACTAAAATCACTTATTTAAGCACTTTTTGTTTCAAAAAGGTAGATTGAAACTGAGTTTTTTAAATATAAAAATAATGAAATTAATTAACTAATTTATAGTTGGCAAAGTAATCGAAATCATAAAACGATAGTGACAGAAAAATAACCAAGGTAATGTAATGTTTTTCATTTTTCAGAATAATCCAAATTATGTGATAAAAATGATGTTGAAGTAATCTAAGACATATGAGAATTCTTGCTTTTCTAACTAATCGAAATCTTGCAATGAAAATCATAAAAAAATACGAAAACTAACGGAAAGATTTTTGTTTTACGAAGTAATCGAAATAATCAAATGGAAATAGTGAAACATTATTAAAACTTACATGATAATTTTCGTTTCTGAAAAGTATAAAAGTTGTGAAATGAAGTCGGTGTAGAAAAAAAAGAACCTAACGAAATAATTTTGAAGTTTGTGAAATAACTAAAAGCATGAAATTTTTCGTATGAAAATTTTGAAAAAGTCCTTTAAATGAACTATTCTGGTTTTTAAGGCCTCCTTCTCAAAAACAGAACTCAGCTCAAGAACGTGCCGAACATCATGACGTTTAAGGAAGATATTCGTCAAAGGGTCAAAAATAGCTCATTTGGCAAACCAGATTTCTCTGTTCTGATTCATTCTATATACTTGTTGTTTGAAAGAGCATGTCAGGATGCAGTACAATACAGCGCCTTTTGTTAAATTCTTACTTTTCAAGAAGAGAAAAGACATCGAAAGTTCAATGACTCAAAAACTCTCTAAACTTGTGCTCTACTTTTATTGATGTTTTACATACATTTTTCTTAATTTCAACCATTCTAACTGAAGTGTGCGTTAGATGGGAAAAGACGAAGAACATTGTGGATGTTTGGCAAGAGATTTCAAATGCAGAAAACGAAAAGAAATAATCAATCAAAACGATCAATAAGCATTATGGTCCCATTTTA